ACTACCCTTGCAACTTCATTGTCCCTTCCGCTTCACCAACTTTCACCACCAAAAAGAAAAAAGCTTCTTTCCATTCCCACAAATCATCCGCCCACCTATTTCAGACCTCCCCGAATGAATGTCAAATCATGGTGATCCAAGCAAGATGAACCTCACTCCCTAACCAGGCTTGAAAGTTCTCAAGCAACCAAGCAGTCAACTCAACTATAACTACCTACCCTCCTCTTTACACTTGAACACAGCCCCTTCATCCCATTTCCTAAATCTGAAGACATTATGTTCCCCATGTAAATTAGAGTTCGAGATAGAAATATCATTAACATGCTATAAGACAATATTATGGAATTTGCATTACCAGGATTTAATTAACTTGAAATCAATCTGGTCCTGTATGTCACAATTCGTATTGAGATTGCCCATTAGAAACATTGAGTCACATCATAGAACATAAAACTGGAATGGTTTGATAGTAACTTGAAGAATAGTGAGGCTGTTAGGGTCTTCCACTGCATAGTTGCACCTCTCCCAAAAAGTTTGCTAGTTTGAAGAGCAGACCTCAATACAGGTACAAGTTCAAGAGCTCCAAACATAAATGAATTTCACAAATAATGCACGAGATAACTAAATTTGAAGAAACTACAATCCCTACAAAAGGGCATCTTAGACAAAAATGAGACAATATCTTGTCCAGTTCAACCTGCATGCTGGAACAATTTGGACCTAATTACTGTGTTCTTTTGTTTTGGGGAGCTAGCAGAACTTTCATGTCATGTGAGTTTTATTTGATGCAAGTACAAAGGCTGCTAAGTGCTAACAATGATTTGGAAAGTGACTCAAGAAAAGATTCATCTTAAACTGAGATTATGTTTACGCAAAACAACAATTCACATGAAGTGACATGTTAATTCTTATTAGTGAAGTGAGGGACCCAATTCAAATATGCATTTGGTTGTATATTGAAACACGCCTCAACTAAATATTGCTATGTGATGAATCACACGGATGAGATATAAGATGGAAGACAAATTCAAAAGCTATAAAAAGAAATATAAATAATAAAAATTGTCAAAAGTTAATAAGAAAAGTCAACATAAAAAAGCAAATACATGCATCCCATACATGAATATGGTTATTCAACTTCTAGACCTATGTCAAAACTTATGGGGGCAAACATGTCAAACCATAGGTGTCCATGTCTGAAATTTCAAGATGTGAATAGGAAAAGGCCTCCATGTTTGACACCAAAAAATGACACATGCTTGGTGACGCTCATCAGATTGTCTGCTGGTATGTCGAAAGCAACACATTAATCGGATATAGTGGTAGAGCCACACACCACGACATGTCTAAAATAAAATGCCTATAGATCCAATGAACAGAAGGGCCGAATGAGAAATTCAATATTTATCAAGATAGATTTGGGAAGAGGAAATAAGAATTCCAACTAAAATAAAGCTATTATGCATCTTACCAATTGCTCATCAGTTTATGAATAAATCTAACAGGCAGGTCATAAATGACCAAAACAAAATTCATGTTTACAAACAGCGTCGTATGATGTTGGTTATTTGGGGGAAGAGAGGAGCACAAGATGAATTAGGAGGAAAATGCTGAGGTGAAATAATGAGGCTAGGGGAGGGCATATCAAGAGGGGGTGCAGGAGGAAGGGTTGCAAGCTTGGGATGGCGTTGAGAGAGGGTGGAGAGAGAGAGGGGGAAAAGAAAGCGAGCGTAGAGAGGGTATAGGAGCTTGGGAAAAACGAGATGAAGGAGCAGTTTGCATGTGAAACACGATTGGATGGGTGAAAAGGGGGGAAAGGGGCACGACAGGAGAGGGCAAGTGTCCACCATCCGTGTAGAGGAAGGGCTCAAAAAAGGTAACTGAGGAAACAATAGGATCAACGAGTGAAAAGAGGGAAAGGGAGGAGAGTTGCTTACTAGTTTCCTAAGACCGGAGGGAGACATGGAGGAAGGACAGCTAGTGTCACGGGATTGGAAAGGGAAGCAACGATCACATGCTCACCAAGAGGGTTCGACGAAGGACAAGGGACGTGGAGCCACGTGGCATCTCCTGAAAAGAGGAAATTGCGATCAAGAGATCGTTGAGATGCGAGACAATCGAGAAAGAGCCACGTGGCTGTTCCAGATGGGGAGATAGAGCCGTCTACTCTAAGGCCAGGGATGACTTGCCTTGGGATATGGGGTTTATGAAGTCATCTGTCATCCCATCAGCCTTAATGATGGGAAGCTCGAGAGGTGGTGAAGCTCTTGGGGCAGCAGTTTGCTTAGTACCAACTTTGTTAGCCACACAATCAAAACTTGGACGCTGATGGTCATTTCTTGACCGTCCTCTATGCGAGACCTCGGTCCATCCATCCTCGTGTATCAAGAAACGTGATCCAAACAGGGGAGGATCGTGGTCTCTGAGATGGCGGGACGATAGGGGAGAGGTGAAGGACCATGCCATGGGAATGTTCAAGAAGAGGCCAACAACTTCAGCCAGATGGAGGGCGGGATGAGGGAAGGGGCCAATGATTCTATGAGAAGTTGGATTGATCCAAGAGGAAGGGTGCCTGAGGACCTCTAATGGACCAAGCTAAACTCGTCGCAAGAGTCCCCAATTTTTTTGAAAGTGTCGATGTCCCACGCCTGCATGGGGATGTTGGTGGACTGAAACCAAATTGTTTACAAAACGGCTACCAGGTACTAATTCCAAACAGAAAGGGTGAGAGATGCCCCATTGAACCGAGAATGGTGTCCCTGCTGGGCACTATTTCAACTGACTTCAGATGGGAAAGAGAAAAGAAATTCTCTAGGCAGTTGAGGTCCAAGAAAGCCCGAACTTCCCTATTCTATTTCTTTATACCTTTGATGTCGTGCCTGAGGGGGTGTATAGACCTACCGAAGAGGACCTCAAAGCCTTCACAATATGGGAAGAGTGTGGCTCCCCAACTAGAATGGTGAGAGGGGCAAGGGAGCTCCATTATGGATGAGGTGGGTGTAGCTATGGTAAGGAGTGGGGGAAAGAGGCTAGAGAGGAAGAGGGTTGGGAGAGGACGGCGGGGGTAGAGAGTACGGGTCAGGGCTTGGGCGGAGGAAGGCGGTGGTCGAGGGTGGCCCAGGCTAGGGAGAGGACGGAAAGCACTCCAAGACGGACCCAAGTTCTTTGAATCACCCTCTCTATGTATTTTTAATTATCTCTAATACGGTCAACCGACATTCTTCCTCTCAATCATTGGTGGTACATACAAAAAATTACTCTCCAGTTTAGTACTATTACCACAAAAAGTTCTTAATATCTTAAAACATCTTAAAATAATAAAACATGAATTTTAAAATTATAAATATTATTCTTTTACCAAAGTACCTATACATAATTAAAGTAATACATAAATAAGAAAAACTAACATAAAAAAGTAAATACATGCATCCCATGTATGAATATGGCTGTTCAACTTCTAGACACATGTCAAAACTTATGGAGGCAAAAATGTCAAATCATAGGCATCCACGTGTGAAACTACGAGATGTGAACAGGTAAATGCCTCCATGTTTGACACCAAAAAATGACATGTTTGGTGATCCTCACCAGATTGTCTACGGCAAACACACCATCTAAACCTATAACTAAATTTTAATGAAGCTACGTATGCTCTACTTTAAGTGAGAGGAGTAACGACTAAACCCAAATCCATGAAAAGATAGACTAAATTAAATCATTTATAAGAACAACATGTAAAACCAAGTTACATCCTAAACATAATACCCGTAAATTTCCACTATAAAGAAAATAATTAAGAAGATACAAAAAAAAAGTCATAATCAACATACAAACTACGAAAATTTCAACTAACAATTATACACTAAAAAAAATACCACTTCAAAAGAAAAATGTACTCAGATTCAGGGAAATGGTAGCTGATGCAACTATGGCTGCCATTTTCAGACTAGAGAGCAAGATCTATAGTACCTTCAAAATCTCTTCTGTAGATATTGGACCGGATGTCCAGTCCAATGTATATTGCGGGCAAATAAACCCCAAGACCAATAAATAGTTAACAAAAAAGCCGCCTAGATAAACCTAAATTATCTAGATGAATCACCACAATAAACCCCCAAACCATTGAATTCCAAATTCCAAGCTTATGGCAACAAATCAGTAGCATAAACCTTCAAAAAGAAACCATGAAAACTAGATAAACCGTAAATAGGGCACCAAGAACAAAACCCTAGTTCAGGTTAATGGATGGCCTCGAAATTTCAAAAGCAAAGCAACATAAACCAGAAGAAATCCCTGAAAGGAAGATACCTATGACTTGGATTCAACGTAAGAAACCCTAATACTCTTCGTGCTCCATGGATTCAACATCCTCTGGGTTAGCTAAACTAACACCGTAAAATCAAAATAACTCCCTAAGTCCGTTTACACTATAATTTGGAAATGGGTTCCAAAAGTTTACAGACACTGATTGATTCAATCTTTCGTTTAACAGGAGGATAAAACAAGAAAACAAAGGAAATGAAAGAATCTTGTAGAGAGAGAGAGAGAGAGAGAGAGAGAGAGAGAGAGAGAGAGAGAGAGAGTAGAATACTACTCGTCTCGTAGTCGTAGAAGTAAGAAAGAAGACAACGAAGAGAGAGAAGAAGAACGAAGGAGGAGGAAGAAGGAAAGGTAAAGTAAGTACTAACTAAACTAACTAAACG